CCCCCCCATCGAAATAGTCGTTGTCTTCAACCCCTAATAATACACCCCACCAAGACCGTTCAATCAACAAATGCATATCATCGTTGAGTTTGTATATGTCAGCGTAACACCCTTGGCTCCGCTCATGTAGATAAAAATAAACTGCGGTCTTAGCCCAAAGGGTATTATCCAGAATTGTTTCCGGTAGTTGCTTCCTCTCCACTTCATCTGTCGGAATAGTACTGGCCGGTAACTTATACGAAAGCCAACAGTCATCCATCATGTCCGGCACGTGAGGGGGCTTCTCAATAATTCGATATATTACGCCGTGTGAATCGGGCTCTAGAATGTTGGGAGGGACCTCTTCAACGATGACAGTTGCCTCTTGAACGGTGGGAGGGGACTCTTGAGGGATGATAGGGGCCTCTTGAACGATAGGGGAGGCCTCTTGAACGATGACAGGTGAGTCGGGTTTTTTCTTACAGATTCTTTGCACTATTGGGGTGAACGGAGACGTAATGGCACGTGCACGGCGTCTGATGCGTAAACTTCGTCTTGCAAGAAAAACCCGACGTAGAGCATCCATCTTAGTGGGCCGCTAAAAATAAATTAATACATAAATCAGTAAATAAACAGACATGATATTAAACAGTGAGAACAAAGACAAATATATTTCAAACTTGCACGGTATTCACCCAAGTCATTATTATATCATTGTTCACAAAATGCATCAGATAACATTCCAGAAGTAAGCACTTATATAAACATTTAAAGGACAACATATAGGTTTAGTGCAGGTTCAATAATAACATAAAGAGTAGTAGTTTATTCTTGAAACTTAAATTTTCAACACTGTGAAGTTAGTATTTGTCTTTTGGTTGAAGTAATGCAATTCATTCAAGTTTCAATTTGCAGAAGAATAATAGAATCTGAAACTTAAAATCGCAACGCGAAAATGACTATCGCAATGCGAAAATGACTATCGCAATGCGAATTTGACTATCGCAACGAGAGAATCGCAATGCGAAATGAAAATCACAACGCGATTTTGGTTTCACGTTGCGATTCTCTCGTTGCGATTTTCATTTCTCGTTGCGATTCTCTCATTGCGATTCATTTCGCGTTGCGATAGTCATTTTTCACGTTGCGATTTTAAGTTTCGTGTTGCGAAAGTAAACTATTTCTTCTTCTGTAAATTGAAACTTGAATGGATTGCATTACTTCAACCAAAAGACAAAACAAAGACAAATACTAACTTCAGAGTATTAAAGAATACACAGTTTAGCAGAATTGGCAGCAACCGAACAAATTTACTTTCAACCAAAAGACAAAACAAAGACAAATACTAACTTCACAGTGTTAAAGAATACACAGTTTAGCAGAATTGGCAGCAATCGAACAAATTTACTTTCAACCAAAAGACAAAACAAAGATAAATACTAACTTCACAGTGTTAAAGAATACACAGTTTAGCAGAATTGGCAGCAACCGAATAAATTTACTTCAACCAAAAAACAAAACAAAAGACAAATACTAACTTCACAGTGTTAAAGAATAAACAGTTTAGCAGTATTGGCAGCAACCGAATAAATTTACTAAGCAATCTAAGTGAAATTACGAGTAAATTTATCATCAAGTTAAATATGGAAAATCTTAAACTTACCTCGTTGCGTAGAGTATGAACCTCATTCTGCAACGATACTATCATCTCACGTAGAGCGGCAACCTCACCACGTAAAGTAGACACCTCCACACGCCATGCACCATCGTTATCACGTAGAGTACCGATCTCCTCACGCAAGGTATTGACCTCATCATGTAACTCCCTTGACTCATCACGTGGAGGTGGAGAACAGGGAGATAGAAGTCGTGGCATCTTTGCCGGTCGCCTATCATGAGGTGATGGTGGAGAAGAGGCTTGATGATGTGACGGGATAGGTGATGTCTCTCGTTGTAGAGGTGTATAGTCGAGTAGATCATGTGATGGCTTTGGGTGAGGTGATGGCTCTCAAAGTGGAGGAAGTGGAGGCTGCTCATCATTCGTGCCATCAAAAAAACGCTGACTAGCTTGCCACCAATCAGTGGCAAGATCAGCCTCCGTGGGTGTCAGTCTCTGTAATGGAGTGTTGGCCTCCTAAAAATATAAAAACTCAAACAAAGTTAAACGTCTACTATTAATAACTTGTTTATATATGATAGTATTTGTGTTAACTTACATTATTTATTGTCGCATATGGTATTAAGTCTTCCCAATCCAACAGACGTTTCCTCTTCCAGGAAATAGCCCTAGGAATATCATTTGAAGTATTTAATGCATATGTCCGCATGCTGGGGAAAGCCTCGAATATCCAAATCTACAAACAATATAATAACAAACATTAGTAATTGTTAAATAATTAATTATAATTTTGAAAATATTATATAGAAATCTTACCTTAAAGCCCAAACAAAGCCTGATAAAGTGTATTTCGACCCATCGCCACGCAAACTTTTGCGGTCATCAAAGGCAGACGACAACTTAGTCCAGGTAGCTTTCCATATATACGAACCCCACGGAAACAGATTCCATGCATTTAGTTCCTCTACCAATAATATTAGCTCCTGAGGAATAGGTTGTCTGGCCTCTCTGCCTAAAAAGTCGGTATACAAAAGTACTAGAAGACATACTCGGACAACATCGACGTCATTCATCCGAGTAAAACCATATTTCTTATTAAACAATTTCTTCAGGTCGTCGACGTGTAAGTTCGGCTTCTCTAATCATCAGGAAAAACCCGGGATAACCATGATGGGCGGGTGATATGACGAGTGTACCGGCCTACATCATCGTGTCTGAATCGTAGACCAGTGATTAAGCAGAACTCCTTCCGCCCAAAACAAGTATACACCGGTGGAAAATGAAACCATATCTCTTCCTCACCACGTTGTATACTGTCGGGTAGATCGCTAGTCATGGTCTGAAGCCACAAATGGGTCAAATTAGCATCTCCACCCGGATGCTGTACTCTCAGCCATGGCCCGAAGCAGGTTTCCTCAAATAATTTTCTTTGTGCAGGTGAAAGCTTTGAAGCAATTGTAGTGGCTAGACTAACTTTATTCCTTAATGTCAATGAAGCCGAAAAAAATTTATACAAAAACAATAAACATACAAAGTTAGATATACCAAAAACTACACCGTGAAGATATACCAAAAACAATAAACATAAAGAGTAGTAGTTTATTATTGAAACTAAAATTTGCAACACTGTTTTGTCTGTTGGTTGAAATGAAAATCGCAACGAGAGAATCGCAATGCGAAATGAAAATCGCAATGCGATTTTGGTTTCGCGTTGCGATTATCTCGTTGCGATTTTCATTTCGCGTTGCGATTCTCTCGTTGCGATTTTCATTTCGCGTTGCGATTTTCATTTCTCTCATTGCGATAGTCATTTTCGTGTTGCGATTTTCATTTTCATGTTGCGATTTTAAGTTTAGAAGTTATTCTTCTTCTGCAAATTGAAACTTTAATGGATTGCATTACTTCAACCAAAAGACAAAACAAAGACAAATACTAACTTCACAGGGTTAAAGACTAAAAAATTTAACAGTATTGGCAGCAATCGAATGAATTTAATAAGAAATCTAAGTGAAATGATTAATCTATTATTGAAATTACCAGTAAACTTATCATCAATTTCAATATGAAAAACCTAAAATAATGCAAAAATTTCAAAATAAAAATAATTAAAAAAATAACCTCGGAGGTTGATTTTCCATTTCTGAATGATTGTGAGGGATTTCTGACCGTGAATGGTTGTGAGGGATTTCGCCGGAGATGGGGACGGATTTCACCGTAGAGAGTGAGAGATGGAGATGGAGATGGGACTGAGTTGTGATTTTAGGTTTTAGGTTATGAGTTACGATTACGGGATATACTGTGGACGGTTCAGTGTTCCGATAATTAATATTCGTGTTTGGAATTTGAAAAAAAATATGCGTTAATACGAATGACGCTATGTAAATCGCATTGCGATAGTCAGATTCGCATTGCGATTTAGGAAAATCGCAACGCGAATTTGGGAAATCGCAATGCGATAGTCAAAATCGCGTTGCGAATCTGGAAACTGATTTGCGATACCGGAGATCGCGTTGCGAATTATCGATCGCATTGCAATTTAGTTGGTCATTTTGGTAAATCTAAAAAAATTAGTTAAAATCGTATATTATAAGACATTTTTGGTTATTGAGATTATTTTCTCTATAATAAAACCTTTCCATTTACCTCCTCCCAATTTTTACCGGTTCCAGCAAATAGAGAGCCGCACAACTACCCCACACCTCTGATATCAATTCAAGATCCCAACCGTCCACCACTTTCAGAATAGCCGATCGTGGCCGTTCCTGGATCTCCTAGTTTTCCAAGAAAATATCGATCCGTATTAAATTAATCAGGCAATTTTAAAACAAGATCTCCACCGCAAGTTCTAAATCTGAGGGTTAATAGAGTGCCACGTATCTGAATCGAGGAGCCCAAGTTTAGCATACATATATTTTACCAATTTTTCCCCCATTTTCTCATTTGGTTACTCTTGTGAAACCGAAGGAAAGTGTAGACTCGTCCCCTCTCTCATGGTAAAAATAAAAAAGCAAAAAAAAAAAAAAAAAAGAATTTCAGAAAACAAAATTTAACTTGGAATTAATTTTTAAAAAATCCGACAAATCTATTAGGGATTTAGGGTTCCAACTCGCAATCCCTAGATTCCAACCCTAGCCCAAACTAGTACCCTTGATACCCACGATTCGGCGGAGAAATTGATGTTCTTTTTCTGCACTGATCCAGGTAAGTAATGCTGATTGTTTGATTTGTTGAATAAGTAGTCTGAATAAACGTATATTGAGATTGATAGCTGAATTTATGGGGATTTTTCAACAAAAAAATCGTTATTTTAGGTGCAATTTTGGTTTTACAGATCTGAACATGTTTGATGTAAAGGTGAAAATTGGGAAATTCGGTTTTTCCTGTTTGGATTGAGGGTTTATTGATGGAAAATAGAATAGGAAACTCTCATGGAGCGGAAATTCCTAAGAAATCAAGATCTCTGGATCTTAAGAGTTTGTATAAATCTGGTGATTCAAAAGAGTCTTCTAAGAATAGGAGTTTGAAGAGGAAAGAAAGGTCACAAGAGGGTGATGGTGAGAAGAGGAGTAACAATAATTCCAAGAGAAAGAAGAGTAGGAAATCTCTTCCTCTCAGTAGTTTTAGAACCGTCGTCCATGATAGCAATAGTAGCAAGAGTTTAACTGAAGTGTATAATGGTGGGCTCAGTTCAAGGTTGCATGATCCGGGAAGTTTGAATAAGTTGGGCTTCAGTCAGAAATCTAAGAATGGTAGCAGTGTTGATGATGTTTCAGTTAGTTTCGATAGAATGGTATGGGGATCCCAAAGCGTAAGCGGCGGTTTGTGGGGCGGAGCAAATTTGAGGATGGTCAATTATTGAAGTTGGCAGGGCGATCTACTAGTAAAGAAGTTGTTAATGAGGAAGTGAAGTTAGCTAGCGAAGACTCTGGCACCCAGAATATGTCTTTGAAGGTTAAACAGGAGAAGATTATTGATGATTTTAAGGAGAACCGGAGCAGTGAGTCAAGTTCAATTCAGCATTTGAAGGAAGAAGATGGTATTGCTGGTTACTCAGCTGTAAATGACGACGAGTCTTTGCAAAAAAAATCACGGAGGATGCCTAGGAAGAGGAAGGATTCAGTAAAGGGTGATAAAAGTGTTGCTAACAAGGTTGAGAGTTCAGTCAAGGCTTGTGATGCCTTTCAAGAAGATGAAGAGAATCTTGAAGAAAATGCAGCAAGGATGTTATCATCACGGTTTAACCCAAATTGTACTGGTTTTTCTTCAAACAGCAAAGTTTCTGTGTCACCATCTGATAATGGATTATCTTTTCTTGCATCTTCTGGTCAGAATGCTAGGCCAAGGTCTAAAAATTTGTCTGGTTCTGAATCTGCTTCTGCCGATGCTTCTGGTAGGATATTGAGACCACGGCAAAGTCATAAAAAGAAATCCAACTCAAGGAGAAGGCGCCATTTTTATGAAATTTTCTCTGGAGACTTGGATGCACACTGGGTGTTAAATCGAAGGATCAAGGTGTTCTGGCCTTTGGACAAGAATTGGTATTATGGCCTTGTCTACGACTATGACAAAGAGAGAAATCTTCATCATGTAAAATATGACGACCGTGATGAGGAATGGATAGATTTACGGAATGAGAGATTCAAGCTCCTGCTTTTTCCCAGTGAACTTCCCTACAAATCTCAACGGAAAAGATCTTGGCGAGATAGAGGTTCTGATGATAAAATCAAGAATGTGAAGCTCAACAAAGAGAAGGGTAAGAAAAATTTCATGACAGAAGATGAGATTGCTAATGGGAACTATATGGATTCTGAGCCCATCATCTCCTGGTTGGCTCGCTCCAGTCATCGTGTCAAATCCTGCACTTTGCGTTCGGTGAAGAGACAGAGAAAATCTGTTTCATCTCTTAGTTCTCCTACTCAACCATTTTTGTGTAATGATGCTATAGATGAAAATGGTTGTCCTTATGGAGGTTCATTGAAGGGAAGTAAAATTAAATTGTTCAACACCACTGCATTATCGGACAGAATGGTTGATAGCAGAAGGGTTGAGGGTTCTTCCTTGGATAGCACTAGTTACCCTAACAAAAAACATCCTATTGTATATTTTAGAAGGCGTTTTCGCAAGATGGATAAAGTGTTGTGTCAGGCTTCTAAAAGCAATTGTATTGGCAGTAATGTGTCTGAAGCTATTGAAGCTATTGAAGCTATCACATCTCTTGGCTGTGTTGATGAATTTCAGTATTTGGGTGTACTTGATGCTTGCACGGGATGGTTGGATCCTGAACGAGATTTGTTGCTTAGTGATAAATGTAGGGCAGTTACAATTGAATATTTCATTGATACATTCAAAGCAATTCAGGTTTGGGTTGAGCGTCCCTGTGCTCTCTGTCTCAGATAACTTATTTGGTACAAATAGCCTTTGGCTGCTTCGTACTTTGTTGTTACTGCAGTGTGGAATGGTGATGACTGTCTGGCCAATGGTTCACATGGAGATCCTTTTTGTTGATAATGAAGTTGGATTAAGGTTTTTCTTGTTTGAAGGTTCCTTGAAAAAGGCTATAGCTTTTGTTTTCCAGGTCCTTATGGTATTTTATCGACCTACTGAGCAGGGGAAGTGTCCTGATCTGCAGTTGCCTATAACTTCAATCAGGTTCAACTTTTCTTGCTCTCAAGATCTTAGGCGGCAATTTGTCTTTGCTTTTTACAACTTCCATGAAGTGAAGCATTCAAAATGGATGTTACTGGACTATAAGCTGAAAAGACATTGTCTACTTAATAGGCAACTACCTGTGTCCGAGTGCACTTGTGATAACATTAAGGCTCTTCAGAATGGAACTAATCAGCTACTTGGTTCTCCTGCTTGCAAAGACTCCTCAACAGTTGAGGTATGTCTATTCTCCATGTGACTTTGGTACTATAACCTCAATGGTGGTTTTCTTGTTTGTTTTACTTATGATTGCATGGAAATACTTAAATTATCTTTTGCTTTTCCCCTAAAAACCACACTTGCCAATGCCTCAGAAAAAACTCCATTTTGTTTTATTTTTTAATTTTTAGCTTTATGATGTGTCATTTTTGGTCATTTAACTATCAACCATGAGTGCTGGTGAGTTTTACAATTGCTGTACAGTCACTTGTGGTGGGTATTAAATGGTTTGAAATTTGTTTGTTGTTGACCAGGGTTTAAGGAGGAGAAAGTATAGGCCAGGTATCAGCCATATGGGTGTCTCCAAAGAATCTAGTTTTCTGGGAGTTGGCCAGTTTTCTTGCAATTCTGAGAAGCATAGAAATCTTCCTCAGTTTGCCTTTCCTTTTGGTGCTGCCCTACTTTCTTTCTTAGTTTGCATCTTAAGCTACTTATGGAACGTAGTCTTTCTTGCATCAGCTTTCGCGATCATGACTCCATTGAGCACCAGGAAGCTCTGGGAATTTGTTGTTGGATGACAGTTGTAGTAGAGATGACTGTATGAACAATTCTGAAAATAGTGTAGAAAAAAATCTGAAGGGTTCATTAAAGGATGTTGCTTTTGATGCTGAATTAATAACTCTTGGTCTCTCTGTTTGTGGTAATTTATGTCTGAAGAAGTCCTCACAGAAGTACAGAAATGGTGATCAAATCGTTGATGGAACTTCTGCTAGCTCTCATGAACCTGAAGAAATTGGAGCCATAGCCATTGGTTCATTACCGAAGCAACAGTGTGACCTTTCAGAGTCTCGGCAACTTGATTTGTCATCAAAGTCTCCAGTTAATGGTAATAAGAAGAATGGAAGCGGTTGTTCTGTTTTGAATGGTATTAGGGTTGAGATTCCACCCTTTGATCAATATGGAAAGCATTTTGACAGTGAATTACCCTGTACACAGCAGTCTGCTGATTTGATTTGGAGTATGACGGGTGGTGTTATCCCAAGTCCTAATCCTACTGCTTCTAGAAGTACATGGCATCGAAATAGTAGTAGTTTATCAATTGGTTATCATGCTCATGGTTGGTCAGATGGAAAGGCTGATTTCTTCAACAGTAACTTGGGAAATGGACCTAAAAAGCCACGAACTCAGGTATCATACTCGATGCCCTTTGGAAGCTTAGATTACAGCTCAAAAAATAAAGGCCAGCAGCAGAGAGCCCTTCCTCACAAGCGAATTAGGAGGGTTAATGAGAAGAGATCATCTGATGTTTCTAGAGGCTCCCAAAGTAATTTGGAATTACTATATTGTGATGCAAATGTACTAATTACTATTGGTGACAGAGGATGGCGAGAATGTGGAGCGCAGGTTACGCTAGAGCTCTTTGATCATGATGAATGGAAGCTGGCTGTTAAAGTGTCAGGGTCTACAAGGTACTCTTACAAGGCACATCAGTTCCTGCAGCCTGGATCCACCAATCGTTTTACACATGCTATGATGTGGAAAGGAGGGAAAGATTGGATCTTGGAGTTCACAGACAGGAGTCAGTGGGCTCTTTTCAAGGAGATGCATGAAGAGTGCTACAACCGTAATTTTCGTGCTGCTTCTGTGAAGAACATTCCTATTCCTGGGGTTCGCTTAATAGAGGAATATGATGAAAATGTGACGGAAGTGTCATTTGTTCGTTGTTCTTCAAAGTACTTCCGCCAGATTGAAACTGATGTTGAGATGGCTTTGGATCCATCCCGTGTTTTATATGGCATGGATAGTGATGACGAACAGTGGATTTCGAGAATTCGCAAATCTTCAGAAAGTGATGTGAGTAATTCTTTGGAATTTTCTGATGAAATGTTTGAGAAGGTTATGGACATGTTTGAGAAGGCTGCATATACTCAACAGTGTAGTCAGTTTACTTCTGAAGAAATCCAAGAGATCATGGCTGGAATTGGGTTCTTGAACGTAACCACAGCAATCTATGGGCATTGGCAACAGAAGAGGCAGAGACTTGGAATGCCTTTAATTCGTCATCTCCAGGTATCTTTGAAAACCTTGGTTTTCTTTTCATGCATTTGTTTCTTTTAGTAAATGCTTTTTAGTTTTACTAGCAGATTGAAATTGTCACCATCTTTTGGGTGCAAGGTCACCTGAAGTACTTGTTTCTGCACAGATGTATTCAGTAGTCTAAATGATGTTAATTTATTTCCTTATTTATATGTAATTTCTTCAGAAACACGTGTACTTGCCATCAAGAATTCAAGATCCTGGAAAGGAAAAACCGAAAATCTGTGTTAATTATTGCTCAGTTATTTCAGTATCTAGTTTTGTTGTTTGTTTCAGTTATTTATTCATTTACTTCTTTCTTTTTAAATCTAATTACTATCGAGTCTATGATGGGTTGTATGAATTGTATTCCATCTATTTCCTATCCTTTTCAAGAGCCTGAAGAATTCTCAAATTCATTTTTCAAGGCTCTGATTTTACCTGACAATTTACTATGTTACCGCGGTTTGTTCATGCGTTTGTTTTCTTGAATATTTTATGATGTCAACTTATTTTAAACAATATTTTGCTTTTTATTAACGAGGCCTTTCATTCCTATCAAAAAAAATATTTTGCTTTTTATTCAGCTGCCATTGTGGGAAAGGTACCAACAGCAAGTGAGAGAGTGGGAGCAAGCAATGTCTAAAGGTAACTCTAAAGCCATTGAGAAGCCACACATGTTTGCTTTCTGTATGAAACCCCGGGGACTGGAACTTCCGAATAAAGGGTCCAAACATAGATCCCAGAGGAAAATTTCTGTTTCCGGTCAAAACCAACATGCCTTGGGAGATCACGAGGGTTGTCATTCTTTTGGTAAATGTTCTTTACATTCTCACTTTATTCTTTTTATTTATTTTCGATGTTTCCCTTTGCAAACTGAATTCATTTGTTGTCATTTCAGGCAGAAGATCAAATGGGTTCCTGTTTGGGGATGAAAAGATTCTATATCCCGCGCATAACTATGATTCTTTCGAAGATTCTCCACTGTCTCAAGTTTCACCGAGGTTATTTTCACCGCGAGATGTCGGTAGCATGGGATACTTCCCGATGGGAAGTGATAGGTTCAATAAGAATTATCTCCATAAACTTCAAAGAAGCAAGTCAAAGAAGTATGGAACTTTTCTGCCATTGAATGAAGCACAGATGGTGGATTCATACAATCAGAGGCTAATGGGCAAGAGAAATGGAATTCACAGATGGAACAGGGACTTTCTTGAGTGGCCAAGCCAGCGGCATTACCTTCCTGGTGGCTTCCAAAGGCAGGGTCCAGCACATTGGGATAACTCTGATATCGACGAGTTCACATTGCGTGATGCATCTAGCACAGCGCAGCATGCATTTAAAATGGCCAAGTTCAAGAGAGAAAAGGCGCAGAGATTGCTTTTCAGAGCAGATCTTGCAATTCACAAGGCTGTGGTTGCTCTCATGACTGCAGAGGCAATTAAAGAATCTTCCAAGGACTTAAAATGGTGGTGACGGGTAGAAGAACAACCCGATGAAACTTGGAGAGTGTTGACTGAATGAAATTAGCCAGCACCATTCAGTTCTTGAGCTGATGAAATACGTAAAGAATCAAACATTCTTTTCCTCGAAATGGTGGCTCGGAGTTTTGATTGGTTGATTAAGCGTACAAGTGCCAACACGAAAGCTCTACTGGCCTCCATATTTTCTTTCTAATCCTAGCAACAGGTTACACAGTAGTATAACCGTTGTTTTGATTCTTCCGGTAAGTGGTGTATGGAATTTTGGCAGGTGATATTTGTACAGAATTTTCTTTTTTTTTTCCCGGTCCATGACGTCGTAGCTCGATCGTTTTTTTTCTCCTCTTAGCCTGGATATGGTCATATCGCAGTAGAACAGGTTAGCTCAAAAAATACAAGCATGTCTTTTGGAATCAGATCGATGTTTCCCTTTGTGATTGAAATGCTTGGAATTTGGCGCATTTGTTAGGGATATATGTATGAAAACAAAAGTCTACATCTGAATTGAGAAACAAAAATTGCTTCAAGTATCATCATCATCATCATCATTATCTTAGAACATGTTCACTGAGATTCATTAGAGCCACAAAAGGAGTCATTTCTTGGTTTGGCTTCCCCATTGTTGTGAGATTGTTTTATTTGGAAACCCCATCCCTTGGGGTGAATATTCATTTGAATCGAGTTAAAAAATTTTGAGTTGCTCGAGTTGATGAATCTTATTTACAATTTTGAAATTTTTCGGAGTCTATTTGTTCGAATTTTTTATTTAAATTTAATCGTAAATTTTTGTTATGTTCTGGTTTTGATTTTATTTTGAACAGTTCTTGTAATCATATACAATGATATATGTATATCATGCAAAGTTGAGTGATTCGATTTGAATTTGAAAATCAATTTGCTCGTTATTAAAATTTTGAATTATTCGAGTTATTAAAGTCTATTTTATTGCTCAAATTTTATTTGAAATTTTATCGTTTTGAGTTCGAATAAAAAAAATTCAAATTGAATTTTCTAGATCCTTTCCACCGAACTTGGTCGCCATCCTCTTTTGAGCGTTGGTTTATCTTCCATTATCGGTTCTGCAAAAGGCTTGGGGGTAGTCAAAAGGTGGCATGAAAAAAATTGATATCGTAGAAAGTCTCCAAGATCAGGGATGGAAATAATTTTATAATTCATATACTAATATAAAATTATGTGTTCGTCTATATAAAATAATTAGTTCGATTTTTACGCACAAAAAATAGTTCAAAGGCTTTATAGCATTGTTGTTAATTAAAATGTGAGAGCTCTCGTCGTCGTCCTCTGTCAACTTGGTTCTCTTTTCTAATGAAAGCCACCACTTTTAGAGTTCATCCTCTAAAACTCCTCGTTCATCTGTACTTGGGACTCCTTGTAGAGCTCCTCGTATCAAGTTGGATCCCACCCAACGGTCCGTAAGAAGATCACGAGGACGATATCGCGAGGAAAGCGATCACCATAAAAGAATTCAAGATGGAGAGCCAATGGACTTTGGATTCCCTCCTACAAATAAGCATCCCATCGAGATGGCCACTTGATATCACTCAACTCGAAAGCCCTCGTAGGTGAACACAATCGGTTCACCTTCCGTGATCGACATCGACACGGAAGTGTTGCATTTTATCGTAGGCAGATACTTTTCGTACATTTTTTTATTTCTTTACCGAATTAGCATCATGCACAACACTGCAAGAAACAACCTCAAACCCAACAACATATATCCAGGCACATCTGGTCCTCCCTTGGGGTCAGTAGGCATAACCTCGGCTGCATCAGTCATGCCACATTCGTTTCCTTGTACTTATGTATAAACACACTAAACTTCAAATGACTGAACACATAATACACATCCCAAGGTCCCAATCCTTAACTCTGACTGGATACTTTTTCCGTCGCAACGTAAAATCGTCTTTCTTCGTATACCTTATCACCGACAAATTATCGAGAATCAAGTTAACCCGATACATCTCATCGATCCTCTTCTTCAACAAACCGAAATCATCGACCGATAACTTGTTCAATTGACATAAGAAAATCTCGGTCTCTTTGGTGTACAATTCAAACTTATACGACGAGTTTTCGATTCGATTTCCCATAAGAAGCTCCCCAAGATTCTCAGCACTATCCTTACCACCCTCCTCAGGCTTACAAAAGGATAAACTATAATAGCTGAGGGGATTTCAGTGTCAATGAAAGTTAAGGAATTCAACTTGACAGATATAGGGTCCCCTACAACATATTTGTGAGATTAACTATCTGGCAGATAAAACCCATATACGGATTCAAATATCAGTTACATTGTCTATACCCAGATCTCAAAATTACACATTCTAATCTAAAATTTCTCAAATCTATCAAAACCCAGAGCAAGGAATGAGTGTAAAAAGTTAACAAAGTGTTAAGCAGAAATATAGTACTAGCATGAACAGAGAATTCAATAAATTGTAATGCCCCAAAATTTTGGTTAGTGATCAAAATATAAAATTTTAAAAGTTTAGTGGCCAAAGTATAAAATTAGAAAAAGTTTAGGGACCTAAGTGATAATTTTCCCAAATAGATTTTTTATTTCATAAATGGATAGTTTACTCTTGAGAGTGAGGTTATATTGAAATCATATTCCTGATCCGGAATTGGTGTTAAAAACTAGAAAGTGTTAAAGTCTGGTAAAAATTCGGTAATCGGATCGAATAAAAAATTTTGAGAAAATTTGAAAGATGATACATTAAGCTTAGAAATATTATTTTCACTTTTTAAAATGATGAAAAATAATATGGAGTATTGGATTTGAGAAATAATTTCCATGTTCAATTTGGATCGTTGGATGAAAAAGAGCAGGATTGAAATTTTGGAAAAGTTGCATGGGCAAAGTTGTAAAGGGTAAATTAATTTGTTTATATTTGACTTTACAAAGATGATAAGGGTTATGTGGCTTGGTATGGATGTAATTATCTAGTTTCATTAATGATAAATTTGTCATTTCTCATTAAATGAAATTTATATTCATTTAAGCTTAAATACATGATAAATTAACATGAAATTAACTAAAATTTCATGAAAACTTGGTCATCTTTCTCGTCCCTTTCGTTGCCTTCATACCCTAGGTAAGAGAATTTTTATTTTTCATTTTAAGTCAATTTATTAGGTTTTTGGATTAAGACGTGGAATAAAAAATTGTTCTATTCGATGATCTCTATCATTTGTTACCATTATTGCATGCTAATCTTGCTTGAGTTCAGAGATCCCAAATTCTAGGGTTTATGGAATTGATGGTGGTTTTTGAGGTTTTTGAGGCTGTAGAATAATTTTTAAGCTTGTTTGATAATTAAATAATGATCAAACCTCCTAGAAATGCATTTGGCAATTTCATCCTAACCCTATAAATTAGAGAAAGTTGTGATCTAATGAAATTTGATCAGATAAGGTTGAATAGAGGTTGATTTCATGCTCGAATCAAAACCAAGTGAAATCATAGAACCCTAGACTTGTACTATTCGGCCTTGGCTTTTAAAGATGAGAAAAATTATGTAGGGGTTGGAAATGATGTAGGAAATATTCTACAAGTCTTAGAAAAATTTGGGGAACATTTTGTAATTTTATAAAAGTTAGGGGACCTATTCGATAATTATGGAAAATTATGGGATCTATGTGTAATGGTTCAATAGTTGATTTACTATGCTGTAAATTAATGTTTGAGTGTTGAAATTGATGTTAGAATGTGAAATTGGATTATTTTGGGAAGTTGGTAAAAGTTGAGGCTTAAATCACAAATATGGAAAGTTGGGAACTTAAGTGAAAATGTTATGTGAAATTTGGATAAAAAGGGACTTGAATGGTTGATTTGAAGTGTTATAGTCAATAATAATGTTGTGACATAGAATTAGTATTGAATGAGCATCGAAAGAATTTTTAAGAATTTTTTTTTCTATTATGTGCCTATGTTAGTAAGATTTTAACATGTGGTTTGAATTTGTATATGTTTATAATGGTGCTCATTTAGTTTGTGTTCTTGAAATCAAGATGAAGCAATATTAAAGTTAAGGAAAAGTTTAAGATGGAATGTGAAATCCTAAGGGAAGTTTGCAAGCTAAGGACACCATGTGAGTGCAAATTTAATTTGTACTTATGTTATCGAACAAGCATTGGCTTGCAATGAGCCAGTGATGGAAGAGTGACTCCTAAAATGTTATGTGATTTGTGATGCATGTATATATGTGCATTTGGTGAGCTAATAGAATTAGTGACAAACTGAAAATGCAAATTGGTGAAGTCTGCTAAGAAATTTAGTTCTAGACAATAAGCTTAGAAAATCACCATAAATTCTAAAAAAAAATTATTAGAAGATTATTTTTATACCGTTGGATTTGTATATCAGTCTAGTTTTGTTTAGAACAAACATAAAATGATTTTGAGATATATAAAAAAGATATGAATTTTTAAACGATAATATGTCAGAAAATGGGGTAGCAGATTATGCTCTAAACATATTTTGGCAGTCAACTTTGAAAATTCATTATAAATTGTAAAAATTGAAATAGAAGGAGTTCCTTATATGGTTATATTCTTATTCGAGTCTAGTTTCTAGTGGTATAAATGGAATAAATTTTGAGTATGTTTATTAATACAGAATAATATTTCTTTAAATGTAGTGCAAACTTCCAAGATATGAAATTATGACAAATTTTGGGATTTAACCAAATTAGAAGCAAAGGATCAAGTAAAAGCTTAGTGAGGATTATATTTTAACTTGTATATAATGTCAAAAATGAGTGCAATGCATGCATAACATTATACATGGATGTTTTATACATCATCAGGTAGGACTTGCGATGAGTCTACCTTATTTATGTTGGCATGATATTTATGTCATTCATCATATATTTGACATATTCTAAATATGTCAAAGGTTGAATATACATTGCATTGATCACTGATCTTTACATATGATGTTTATCATGAACATATATGATATTTATCATGAACATATATGATATTTATCATGAATGATATTTCAGGTATGAACTTTCCAATGTTAAATTATGATAATATATTTTTACCATGGATGAATCAAATAAAATAGACTGTATGCCCAAGTCGTTGAAGGACATGGTATAATTGGCATGCCATAGAGTCTAACAGCCGCATACCAGATTAGCACTATAGTGTGTAAGGACACTTAGTGCAACACTATGGTGTGTAAGGAAACTGAGTGCATATGGTACTATAGTGTGTAAGGACACTTAGTACATCACTGTAGTGTGTAAGGATGCTCAGTGCAACATTGTGTGAGTGCATATGGTAAGTACTTATGTGCATCTTTGACTCGAATACTCAGGGTCTTCATAGGGTTACGTTTGAGCTATGGTTTATTGGTTAATAAATGATAACAAGTGAATAAGCTTATGATCTTATGGAATACATGACAAGTATATTGGTAAGAAATTTATATGTGATTCATATCATGTTCATATTAGTAGCATGATTGGAAATACATGTAAAGTGATCATAATGCATTGAAT